TGTGGATCCATGCTTCTTGCTGGTCTAAGTATCTCTCATTCTCATAAGCAACTACAGCTTTTCTATGGGCTTTTGTTGGGCCAGGTTGATCATCTGCTGGAATCAATCCTCTCGTCTGCCATTGATCAAACAATTCCTGTATCTGTTTCCAGTTCTTTTGTCTGTCTGATGCATGTGTTGTGGCATCTGATCTGACATGTACCTTTGCCTTGATGTCTGCAGTTGACCCTGGCTCTGCGGGTGCTCCTAACTTAGTGTATTTTGGCGACATATTGCTTAAGTAGTTGGATATAGTTATTAAATGTATCCAAGATGAATCACTAATCTTCTGAATAGTACCTTCGCTCCTGATAGAAAATATCCTATGTCATCCGAACTTAACTTCAATACCTGGGTTTTTTTTTTTTTTTTTTTTAAAGATTAATAAAAAGTAAAATAAAAATATGCAAAAAAGTTTTTAATTTTTAATTTTTTTAATTTTTTAATTTTTTAATTTTTTTTTAAACCTTGTACAGTGGCTTGGCTTTGAAATATGCAAATAGAAATCTCGTAAAAATCTAGCTTTACTGTGTATAGTGTATTCCAAAGTGCATGAAATTATGCTAATGTCATAAACTATGTTTTTACTTCAATTGTGTGGTGTTTAGGTATTCTACAGTCTAGGTTGAAAGACTTGTGTAAGGTTTCTTATCTTAATATCAGGAACCACCTGTGATTCTATCTATGTGTGATGAAGTACGTGTTCATCTATAATACTTGAAAGTAAACCTTAGCATAATTATAATCAATTGGTGTTGTATTTATACGTTTGTCCTTTTACCCCTATTTCTTGTGCAACAATTCTGTACAACCAGCAGAGTGTGCTGTTGTAATTTTTCAGCTTTTTTCCACCCTTTTTTAGCTCTTCTAAAAACGGACTTCTTTTTAACAAGAAGCTTATTTTCTTAATAACCACCTTTGATATGGGAAAGAAATTGACTTTATGATTAAACAGTCAAACTTAAACCAGCGAATACACTTGCAATCACAATGTTTAGGATTAATGGACAAAGCATAAAAACAGCCATCAGCACACACAATTTTTAGGATTAATCAACAAAGCATATCCCAGCCACACCACATTGCACAGTATAAGCATAAGCAGGTAAAACTCCTTTGCAAGGACTAATATTTCAAAAATCAGATTTGAGCTTTTTAGAAAATACAATAATCTTTTTCTTCAAAAACCAAACTCCAACGGTATAGATAACCTGATTCAGCAAAATGGAATATCTAATTCCAACTTTGACTCAAGAAGAATGATTTTTTTCTACACACTATGGAGGTCATGAATATTGAATTAGCCTCATGTGAGTGAAACTGAATGGATTTCAAAAAGACAACAACTGGTCCTCTGAATTTACATTTCACAGAATGGCGACTGCCATGTCATTGTTTGTCAACATGAGGTCAAAACAAGATGGCAACTGATTTCAAATGCTGACCTGCAGAACAAAGAGTTTTTTGCAAGAAGAATGGCTGTCTCTGATGCGTTGAAATCCTGGAGGTGTTGATCTCAACAAGGAGACCTCATTCCAGGCTAAACTTCAGAGCAGTATAACAGCACGACGCTCTCAATATGCTATACAATTTAAACAAGTTAATACAAAATAGTTAGAGACCATCAAAACTATTTAGCCTATGGTCGTCTGAGCAACTCTCACGCTATTATGCGACCAAATGGGAAGCCAGTCAAACACTATTAGGAGAATATCGTCTATCTAACGCACGAATGCCGCATTTCTTTCCGTAATGCACACGCAATGATTAAAGAGTATACTTCAGACTTCCACAGACTCTTATCACCAATTAAACAAGAGACCATCTCACTTATTTGGGACAATGAAACAAGACGATTCCATCTGATCTTGAGACTAAAAACGAGACGATGCCATCAACTCTCTTTAACAAGAAGATTCCATCTTTAACTTGCTAATAACGAGAAAAGATACCATCTATTTCTCTGTCAAGAAGATACCATCTGTCTTGAGAATATACAAAACGACAAGAGTCCATCTATAAGTCGTCAAACACAATATAATAAGTAGTTGGATATAGTCCTTAAATGTATCAAAGATGAATCACTAATCTACTGAATAGTACCTTCGCTCCTGATAACAAATATCCTATGTCATCCGAACAATATCTGGGATCTATTTATTTATTTTTTATTAATTTTATTTTATTTTTATTTTTTTTTTTAATTTTTTTTTTTTTTAAAAAGATTATATAAATACCGGCTTAAAAGCACATTAATATATCCGGCTTGGAAAACACACACATTATAATCATGCAGTTGGTTTAAAAAAACATGCAGTTGGTTAATGAATCAAAGAAAGGAAAATAGACTCACCCTGCTTGCTGTAAAACAACGCCACGTGGTTTGGTTTAAATTTATATTTAACATTAAATTAACAGCTGTTCTCAGGATGTCCTGCTCGCCGCAAAACACACAAATCTAAATGGTTCTATATAAGCTATTGAAGAATTTGATATAACTGGCTTCTCCTTACCGTTTGTGTATGGGCCCTTTGTGTGTCTTTTGGTTGGCGGAATCTCCGTCGAAACTAGCGATTTCTCTCCCAGTGTTGATATCACACGTCTGGGTCAGCCAAATGTTGATAATTTGTGATCTTCTCGCTCCCAGGAAAGAAACTTAAAATAACGAGACTAATGGAGTCTCTGAAAAGGTTCAAATGGGTAGTTTAATTAAGTAACGTGGTTAAAGAACAAGCATGGTGAATGGAGAGACAAAGCCGGTGTTGTCTTGAGGGAGGCTGCAGCGAAGGGAAGAGCGTGCGTTATCTTTCGTCCTGCCTTTTTATCCACGTCTCGTTGTCCCCCGCTGTGCAAATAGTGGGTGGCCCAGAGTTCCCGTTAGAATATTTTTTTGCCGGTCAACATGTCCGTTAAAGTTGAAATCTTCCGGACAAAATTAGATAAGTGCCGGTTAAAGGTCTTCTTTGTTATTTATTGAGCTTTAAAACAAATTGATATGATTCGACATTAAACAAACTAATTATAGTAGATTAACTACATTATTCAAAAGTGTACAGTAATTTACAAAAACGCGGGAATAATAAACGGAGCGCTCTCTCCTTCTCCTGACAGCCCGTCAGTATCATGCAGCTCGCGGATCCAGTAATGAGTGACCCGACAGTAAAACTAAACATATCTATAACTAGTTTAGGTAGTTTGAGAGGTAATTAAAATAGCTACGTGTGATTTTCTAACCTGAAGTGTGTTTTGCTCTGCTCGCCGCTGCAGGGGATCATGCAGAGCTGCGTGTCGACTCGTCAGCAGCAGCCGATCTCTCTCTCCTGTCAGATTAGACTTTACTCGCATTTATGTCCATATCGATCAGATCTAGCTAGTTCTAGCTAATGATATGACTACCTGCTTGTTAAAAGACACCTAAACAATAAGCGTCGCTATGCAACCGGATGAGGCCACAAAGTATAGCGCAGCATTATGCATTTGTTTACATGCCCACCGGAACCCCGAGGCATTACCAACAGATCAACGCACAATCAACCCATACAGGACATCTCTTTCTCCACATTAAGTGTTAGACATTAGAATTGACAATTTTTGTCTGTCACATACTCTTTTGTCTGTCACATACTATTCTTGTCTGTCACATAAGTGGCGCAACTGATGCGGTATTGCGCTAAGGGAAAATTATTTTGACCGGACATTTTGACCGGAGAGATTTAGATTTGCCGGACTTCAGCATATTTTACCGGTCATTGTCCGGTAATTACCGGCTAACGGGAACTCTGGGGTGGCCCCCTACTCATTTGCCGGTTCGATATCGCGAGAGCACAGATGATTTCGACATTGATATTCTCTGCCTACTTCCTTAAGCATTTTCTCCTCATTATCTCTGTCATGACTTTCTATTTAATACCTTATAAACAGCTGTAATACTTAGTTTAGAAGTCCTAGTGGTTCCGTTACGGAAATTCCCTCTGACGTCATAGCTTCTCACGTATCTGTAAACACTACGATCGACTAGACCTTCATTTAATATTCAGCAGTAATAATATCTTAACGTCTATCGATGTAGAGTTAAAGTCCGTACGTTTGTGTGTAACACTCCGTCATTTTCACTTTACATTCAGAAAACGCAACATTAGTCACAAGCTAACCGGATAAAGGATTTTTCAGAATAAAAGCTTGGCATTGATTTCCTGAGAACTTCCGGGCTTTTCCACAATAAAACAGCTTTAAACTGACAATATGTTTTAGACTGAATTATGCTGTTTAACATTGATTTTAATTTCTAACAATCCCTCCTTTCACACCATTTAAGGTGTGAACACAATACTAAAAGTAATAAGTTCTTCATCTGACTGCTTTTAAACTGACGGTATGTTTTAGACTAAATCATGCCATAAAACATTGAATTTTAATTTCTAACAAGTGTTATACACCAAAACGTACAGAATTTAACACTACATCGATAGACGTTGAGATATTATTACTGCTGAATATTAAATGAAGGTACAGTTGATCATAGAGTGTTTACACATTACGTGAGTAGCTATGACGTCAGAGGGAGTTACCGTAAATGAGAACTGTGCCGTAGAGGTGTTGCTAGAACTTCTAAACTAAGTATTACAGCTGTTTATAAGGTATTAACTAGAAAGTCATCACAGAGATAAGGAGGATAAAAGGCTTAAGGAAGTAGGCAGAGAATACCAATGTCGAAATCATCTGTTCTCTCGCGATATCGAACCAAAGCAGATGAGAAGGGAGGTCCCACTATCTGCACAGCGGGGGAGAACGAGACGAGGATAAAAAGGGATGACAGAGGACAACTCGGCCCTTTCCTTCGCTGCAGCCACCTGAAGACATCACCGGCTTTGTCTTTTCCTTACCTATGCTTGTTCTTTAACCACGTTACTTAATTAAACTACCCATTTGAACCTTTTCAGAGACTCCATTAGTCTCATTATTTTAAGTTTCTTTCCTGGGAGCGAGAAGATCACGATTTATCAACAGAGGCCTCACAGGTAAGAGCACTAACTAGCTATCATCACATGCACCTTAGCTTAACTTAAATGTATTAAACGTAAAATTAAGTGATGGCAAAATATAAATAACTAATGTCATGCAAACATATTAATACTTGCTTGATTCCAGTGTTGCATTTAGCACATTGCATACAAACGTTAAGGGATTTTAAGATTCTGAAGTATTATGCTAAAAACTCAACTTAGATTATTATTTATAGTTTTGCTGAATAGTTTCATGTCCGCTTACCTTAGAAACGTACAATGCGACGGCAGTGTGCAGATGGGGAGCATGTTAGCTTAGCTTGGTAGCTTGAGCTAGCTCTGTTACTTCCAGCTCGGAGGCAGCAGGTCCCGCCTCGGCTCCGCCTCTTTGCCCTTATTTGGAGCAGGCGGGAGTGGAACTCTGACGCCACTGTCGAGCCGTTAGTGGCCGACTCCGCCTACTAAGGGCTTCTCGGCAACTCTGCAGAATCCTATGGGTGACGTCACAGACCCTACGTCCATTTATATATACAGTCTATGAGCCTGACCCAGTAGGCCTATGACAGAGCAAGTTTCTCTCTTCATGCACAAATGTGTTTAATCGTTAATGTCAGATATGTACTAAGTAAATACATTTGTTCCTGCTCAAGATTAGATTCAACTTTATTGTTATTGCACAGATTACAGGTACTGAGACAACGAAATGCAGTTTAGCTTCTAACCAGGAGTGCAAAAAGCAGTAAACTGAAAAGTAATGTACACAATCTACAGAATAAAATATAGAATGAATTGAATGATGAATACACAGTGAGGGATATGAATATGCTAAGATATATAAAGTATGAAAACGGTAAGCAGTGCAAGTATAGTATAAAATATATAGATATTAATGTCATGATGATAAACATTGTGGAACAATGATGAAAAATGTGAATGGAAGTGGCGACGTAAAACTGACACAAAACAACAACAAACTTTTGCCGAGCCAATGGAGAGTTTCATCTCCAGCACGGGGTAAAAACCACCAAGCGCTCAGCTCGAGATACCAGCGAGTCGTTTCCCATCAAGCATTTCGCTTCCGCAGCCCGTGGAGAGAAACTGCGCCGCCTCGCCGCGCCTCGCTCTCAAGTCTGCGGGCGTCTTTGTCCAGCGAGATTGCAACGTCTCATGTAGGCGAGCCTCCTGAGCAAGTCGGACAAAATGACTAACCATCATGCAACCGCATGCAACGCACTAGCAAGACGTTGATCGCAATTGCGCAGGTCTCGCTTGTCTCAAACAAGCCTAGTTTCTGAGGCAGCTGTTTTGTAGTTTGTTGTCAGCAACGTAAGGTTAGTCCCCACAGACTCACACACACAGAAATGTGTTAATAGTTAACAGCATTAACTGAATTATTTGATAAAAACCGTAGCCTTACTACAGGCTGATATTAGGAGTCGCCAAACATATCGTAGTAGCAACCTGCATATAGATAGACTTTAAGGGAACATCGTTGTCCACAATAATAAACCTTCTCCAGCCCCTGTGTTTTGTGCAGCATAGCTGGAGAATAATCTAACACGATAATAGCAATGAATTTGGATATAAATGAAAGTGAAATCAGTTCACGGTGGCTGAGAAAAACACCCGGTCTGGCAACTAGAAAACACTCCGGAATGAAGGAGGGGTCAGCGGGCCAGAGTTGAGCACCGCCCCGGGTTGAGTGGGTGAACCTTGTCACAAATTTCACATGAATAACATTCATTTCTCTGCCTCTCCGTGACACATGCCTCCTGCGTCGTGGTCTCTGCAAAAATGTACATTTGGTTCACCGTTTTAGCCGGACTGGCTCTTCTGTCCCTCTCCTTCATCAGGACACTTTTCCCGTACTTAGGCGATAACTGCGCGTACATCCTGAGGAGCATTAAACTCGGCATTAGGCTCACCAAGTACAAGAAAGGCAAACAGTTTTACAGCCATTTTCGTTTAGATTACTGGTCTGGGGGAAGCTCGCGGCTGTTGTTATGCCTGCTGTGACGTCAAGTTACTCCGTTCTCTGCTTGTAATTATACCTTTACAAGCTTCAAAGTTGTTTATTTGAAATCAGATGAAAACAAACTGTAACGGGCCCTGCCGTGTTATCTATGATTACTATACGCCTTGCATTCATAATTTCAGCGAGAGGGAGGGGGGGGCGGCGCTGCGGAAGAGCGAGTGAGAGTGCCTGGTGCGAGTGAGAGGTGCCTGTCATCTTCCCTTTACAAGCTTCAAACATGTGATTTTGGAAATAAAAGTTTCATATTCTGAAAGCCAAGAATTTGTTTATTTAAAATCAAACAAAACACCCGAACCCCGAAAAACTATTTTTTTACGTAAATCCACGTTTATTTTTAAATGAGCCGTTGCGACTTCCGACTGATTTCGATAGAGCGGGTCACATATGTTATCAGTTTAATGATTTAGGTTAAGAGGACTTGCTCTGCTCAATGATCAATTTGCTGAGTCTGCAGAGGGCGAAGGTTGTTGGAACACAATGCAGGACAAAGAAATAAATGAACAGCAGAATTGCACTGAAATGAATGTTTTGGTAGTTAGTATAGTGTTAGTAAAGTATTTGGGAGCTTGCAAATCACAAACATTACAATCAGCCTGTTACTTTATTCCTTTATCAAATCATGCACAGCCCCGTTTAAATCCTCAAGGCAAGTTCATTTATATAGCACCTTTCAACAGAAGGCAATTCAAAGTGTAGTAAGTTATGATTTCTATGAATGTGCTATGTTTTTATTTTGTTTCTCTATGTGGTACTTTGCTTATGAGTTTGCTTATGAGTTCCTTTATTCCCCTACAGATAAGTGAGGAGAGACTGAGCCTTGTGTTAAAAGAAACACAGGAGCATCATGAGAGAGAAATAGACTAAATGCAGAGTATGTATTGCCCTCTGATCGTCCGTATGACATACACTATTCATTATTTGATCACTACAGTGCCCACCAGCAAGCTTATATTCTCCACTGTTTCCAGGCTCTTTGTCCCAGAGGAAGGAGCCGGCCCGCTGCAGGAAGGAGTGCGCTGAGACTTTAGGAAAGCTGCAGAAGAAGAACCAGGAGCTGCAGAGACACTTAGAGAAAGCCTGTCGTCAGCTGCAGCACCGCGTCCGGGAGCACAACTCTGCCATGCAGCATCTGAAAGGTATTAAAGGCATTTCATTTCTCTCTTTAAATGTCAAACTAATGGATATACTCAACTCAACATACAATATGTCTGTGTGTTGCAGATGAGCATGAAAGCAGCTTGAAAACCATGAAGGAGGAACATCTGCAGCAGCTGGAGGAGGTGAAGAGAGCCAAAGAATCCTCAGGGTTAGTGTTTTTATTGTTTCTTATCTTCAGTTCCAAGTCAAATGAAGCTAAATAAAATATAGTTGCTCCAGTTTATTGTTTTGTTCTGTTGTTATATGACGTGTTAGTTAAAAGTTAAACCAATGTATATATTTTTTATATTAAATGTTGTCCCTTATCTTAAAGGTGGGGTAGGTAAGTTTGAGAAACCGGCTCGAGATACACTTTTTGTTATATTCCATGGAATGCTCTTAACATCCCGATAGCAATGAATATCTTAAGTGCTTTGACAAAAAATCCATAAAAAAATGTCATCTGTGGAAGCCGTAGTACTGTAAAAAGCACGACCAATCATTTTAGCCGGCCCGGCTAAAATAACTGGATGGCCTACCTGCCTGTCAGCCTTCCATCTGTGCACAAACTTATCTCGTGCCCTCATTGGTCATGTGCGCGTTCGTGTGTGTTGGAGGAGGGTCTCTATAAGGAAGTGGCAGATTTTCTCCGGTTGTGTATTTTCAAATTCTACGCACTCGAGCTAGTTTCTCCAAAATTACCTACCCCACCTTTAAGTGCTTTTGCTCATGCATTTTGCATTTGGGATTAACATTCCATCCAACACAAGGTTTTAGATTTTTGGACCAAGCATCTCACATTACCTGTCATCTTAATGATGCCAAGCATAAGCTGGACTTTTTACTCCAGTAATAGTCAAATCAAGTCCCTCCAGACATTTGACCCATCCCAAATAGTAATTAACCCTTGGACTATTCAAAGTAAGGGCAAATTGCTAGAAAGCAGCAAAGTCTTTAGGGTTTCTTGTCTTTGTTTTTGGGGGAAATCTTTCAAATAGCTGAAAATAGCTGAAAATACACCAAAGATCAGGTTGACATTTAATTTAGATTAAATCATGGAAGAATATGTTTTTTTCTTGCTTGCAGGAGTTCTGATCACCAACAAAATACGCAAGGCCTAGAAGAGATGGAGCAGCAATACGTGACGACTGTAGAAAAGATCAGAGGTTGGTAATGGATGTGTTTATTGTGTGCACATTTAAAATATTCTGTATTCAGGCACACCAGATTTCAATATAAAACTGCCCTGGAGGGACTGAGGAAGAAGACTAAACTAGACACTATGATGTCCTGTACCATAATATTCATTTATGTCTTCACTTGTGAATCTGATCAGTTATTTTCATGTAAATGTAACTAGTGAAAAGGACAGATCATAACTGTGTTTTACCGCAGGAGACATGCTGCGTTACCTCCAGGAGAGTCAAGAGCGAGCAGCAGAGATGATCCGCGTGGAGGTGCAGAGGGAGAGGCAGGACACCGCCAGGAGGATGCGGCGCTATTATCTGACCTGTCTGCAGGAGTTACTGGAGGACGGGGGAAAGAATACAGGGCAAGAGACCGTAATGTCCTAAACTTGTTTGCTTGCTTCCTCAGGACTCCTCCGGCTAATTGTATTGATCTTCCTGTCCTCTGCAGGGCTGAGAAGAAAATAATGAATGCTGCTAGCAAGCTGGCAGCCATGGCTAAAGTACTGGAGACGCCTGTCAGAATTAAATCTTCAAAGAACTACAGCTTACAAAGTGAGTGCTGTCGAGTAGAAACTGCTTGATTCAAGGTGTCTCCTTTTAGGTTTTCAATTGTCAATGTGCTGGGAATATGTGGTTTGTATTGACTGGTTGTTTGACGGCTGTGTTCACAGGTAGAAATGCAGGTTTCAGTAAGAACCCGTCGACTCTCCCTGAGCTCCCTGACATCAGGCCAGAGAGATCGCACAGGGAAAAGACTTCAGAGCAGAAACAAGTCGCCACACCGAGGACGAAACCTTCGAGTCACAAAGACCTTCCTGCCACTGAGAAGGAGGCAGCGGCAGTAGATGCAAGACTGAAAACTGCTGGTAACGCACATCTCCGCTCTTACAAACCTTCACAGCAGACGAATTCATGCCAGGGGGATTTTGTCGATGCGTCTGTGAGGAGTAAAAACAGAGAGCTCTGCCTGCAGGGAGTCAACCGCCTTGACTCAGAGCGACAGAGCCAACCGCTCCTCATCCAGGAGGCTCCTGTCAGAGACGAGAGGAGGACGGACTGGAGCATGAGCAGCAGTGACTCGGACGCAGGCTTCCAGGCCTCCACACTCTCTTACTCAGGGAGGAAAGTGGAGCAGGTGAAGCCTTTTTCTGTCTCTGCTACGTCAGCCTGTCACCTGGGAGAGTTTGGTAGACTCACCCCGAACGTTTCTGACCTGACTGTCTATAATGAAATTGCCAAAAAGACACCTCACACCCAGACTTTGAGCATTCAGCATGCAAAGCTCAGCACACACCGGGAGCCCACGCCTGGCTCCGAGGGCGAGGAGCAGCGGGGGGGCCGTCCCCGGCCTCAGTTCTCTGAGCTGAGACAACGGCAGCAGGACAGCGGCTTCGACAGTCCGTTCTACCAGCAGAAATGACAAAGTGAGGGCAGGTATGAAGTGAAGTAGGCAGATAAACTTTGAACTAAGTTCTAACAATTTCAGTAAACTTACATTAATGTGCCTTTTTTTAATTAAGTGTTTAAAGTTTACTCGATGTAGAACCGTTGCCTTCATGGATGTTTGCAGTGTGTGTCTTTGTGTTGCTTTAACATTGTTAACAGAATAGTTTGACATTTAGGAAATTGGCTTATTTGCTTTCTTGGCAAGAGACATTGATGGAGATTGATACTCTCAGACACTCAGTCTTGAGTTCGCAAAATATAAACCTGCAGCCAGTAACCTAAGTTTAGCGTACAAACTGGAAATGAGGTGGAAAATCAAATCCAATTGGGATTTCCAAAGTTCGCTAAAAACAACCCACCAGAACAGAATGTTTGTTTACAAAACAGTGTCGAATATAATTGAGTAGAATAACAAATTGTAATGTTATGGGGGCTTATGTGATGATATAGTTCCAGTAATACTGTGAGTTAACCAAACAAGAAATAGTAAACAAATTAAATATAATTTACACAAGAAATAAGGTTCAGAGAGACACAGGCTAGTTTTCTCCACATGTTCCCAGCTTTTGTGCTACGCTAAGCTAACTTTACAGACATGATAGTGGTTTCAATCTTAATTTACCTCTCGACAAGAAAGCAAGTTAGCGTTCCAAAAGGAACTTTTTCTTTAATGCAGAAATTGTTCCAGTGTTTCCAAAGAAACAACTTCTATGTCCTGGTCCAGATCATCTCAGAACAGGCGTAACACTCCTTTAAACAAAACAACATATTTGTTTTGTGATTTGTTTATTAGATCTCTCATATGCCTGTTGAACATTTCAGTGTAGCTTTAAAGCTGCAGGTGTTTGTTCGCAATGTCAGTGAGGCACTTAGAAGTGATCCTTTCATAAAGTATATGTGTATTTTTAGAAAAATATTACAGGTCAAACGCTGTCCACACTGTAATATTTAACTTGTGATACCTTGAAGACTGATACTGGCAGGTCACTGCACCCTGTACTGTAGACTGCCACAGAGAACTAGATTAAGTGTTCTGCACCTCCGTCGTTATGCCTGTTTTTATATTTTCATATATTTTATATAACGTTAATGAGATATGCTGTGCGTAGATCATAAATGTTTGTTTTTTTATAAATGTATTTAATTTGTTTTAATAAATATTATCATATGCTTGCAAATTAAGAGAGAATACATTATTTGTCGTGAGGGACGAGCCTCTTCAGCAATAAGGGTTGTGTTAAGGAATAATTCTTCTAGATATCTAACCTTTTACTCTGACATGTGTTATCTCCAAAGGCCTTGGTGCCATATGTGTTGTTGTCACCAGTGTGTGACCGGTCAACTTGACTGGCACGTAGGGTAATTGTTGTGGGAACACTGAGGCACTTCTTTATCTGTGTTTGTGGGCTCTAGGATGTGAAATCCTTGAGGCCATGAGCGTCGGACGCAGATGATTCAGTGTTTAGTCTACTCCTTCAGAGATGTTGATTTCTCTCTGTGAACCTGTTAAAAGGTCTAGCATAGAGAGAGGTTCTTCAGAATTGACGTGGCAACTCTACCGTGTGGTCAGAACCTCTGAGTCTTTGATTTGTGATGTGAATCCTCCGGCCGAATACTCTGAATAAACCCATCAGTGTTTGACATCAAAGCTCCAACTCTCACCGTGTCTCCTTCCTGAGTCGGTGACTCCATGCATTACTACACAGAAGTTTCCTCCACAGGTTGCATTTTATATAAACCAATTATAATATAAACCAATAGATTCAGAAAACACTGGAGTCCTCAAAGGCTCGGCTACAAGGATGTGTTTGTAGATGCATGTATTATTGGTTTGGGCTTTTCATTGATATGTTAAGCAGAAAAACCTCAGATATAATCGATCTTATCCTTTCAGATTGTGTTTCGTATTGTTGTGTGCAGGCATCACAGTGGCTTTGAGGAGGAAGTTCTCTGCATCTCAATTTCGGGACGACTGCAGGAGATATGATGTCACCGTCATACCCAATGTAAGGGAAATCATGCGTTACTTGTGCAACACACCAAATGTATCACAGACCTAACATTGGTGATACTACAAACCTCACCAAAAACACAACTATTTCAGACCTGTTTCATCCCGACACAAACCTAATGTTTTCAAATGGGTCACAGAACATAGGTCAAAGCTGCAGCTCTGCCCAAACACTGTAATCATTAACTAGGTCAAGTGTTCTGTCCTTCCTTTTATAAACAAGCATGCTGTTCCATCTAGATAATCATTTGACATGTTTGACAGCTTATTGATCATTTCAGTAATTTTGTATGCCAAAAATCCTCAAACACTTGATCCAGTTTCTCCAAGATTGTTTTTTGCTGTATTATTCAGTTTCTAACATAAGTACACAACGTTTTGGGGTTTCCGACTTGGGGGCGTTTTTCATTTGCTGACATTGGAGACAATCATGAAAATATTGCAACTTTACTCTCAGTTTATCTTCATGTTGTTCCATTGTAATGTTTATGTTTTGTTAATCAGTGATCTGACGACATGATCCTACTAGATTGGTAACCCTTGTGCTGGCTATGCTCCTCCTTTGTTCCCACCTTTGTTGTATCTCTGTTATAAACTTCCACAGGCAGCTGGAGTTGATCACAGATCACCATGCTTGTCTGGATAGTGTTTGCCGCGGTGGGTCTTCTCGCCCTATTTTTCCGCAATCCGAACTTTTTCCGGGATGTCCAATTCGTGCGTAAAAAGTTGAAAATGACGAGCCGCATCCTGAAATACATGCAGACCAACTACTCCATACTGGATCGGTTCATAGACGCAGAGAAGGAGCATCCACACAAGCCGTTCATCCTGTTTGGAGATGAGACCTTTACCTACCGAGACGCGGAGGAGCTCAGTAACAAGGCGGCCCGGGTGTTCCTGCAGAGCGGCCTGCTGAAGCAAGGAGACACGGTCGCGCTGTTCCTCGGAAATGAGCCCGTGTTTCTGTGGCTGTGGCTGGGTTTGGTGAAGATCGGATGTTCCGCTACTTTCCTCAACTGCAACATCAGATCCAAGTCCCTGTTACACTGCTTCAAGTGCAGCGGAGCCAGGACTCTGGTCGCTGCGGAAGGTAATCAGGTTTCATCACTTGTTGTGGGCGTCATGAAAACATTAAGTGCTGGATCTATGTGATGTGCCCTAACTTCAGTGTAGGTTTTTTAGGGAGATCAGTCTTTCTTTTAATCAATCATTTTAATTAGTTAACTCAATTAATTGTTTTAATAATAAGAAATGTTTTCGGAGTAGAACTATGTCACTGTTTTAAGTCAGTTTTTTTGTTTTTGTTTTTTGTAAAGGCTCTGGGAGATGCAATTTGCTTTCGACTAGGCCTAATTCATTTCTTTCGAGTAAGAAGTAACTAAAAGTAAACTTGTGTCACGTGGAATGATCTAAATACAGCAGTGCCTTGTCACAATTTCCACTTCCACTAAATAATGGTTTCCCCCTTGACCTCTCAGATGTTTTTTTCAGGAGGTAAAAGTATCCACATTTCACAAAACAAGTAGATTAAATAAGGTCAAAAATAATTGGTATTTTTGACTTTACTTCTAAACACTGGTGCATGTGCAGTTAACCACTGCCTCAGCTGCAGGGAAGCACAAAGGCGCAGAGGAGATGCTCATTTTGTTTTCTTGTCAGAGTTACAGGATGCTGTGGATGAGGTCTTGCCCGCTCTGTTGGAGCAGCAGGTCACTGTGTTCATCCTGACTGACAGATGCCAGACTGCAGATGTGAAGAGTTTCAAAGATCAAATGAGCCAGGCCTCCTCTGAGCCGCTGTCCAAGGATTTAAGGTCACATTTAACCCTGCGGAGTCCAGCAGCCTACATTTACACATCCGGGACAACAGGTGAGTTTCCTCAGGTGCAGAAATCCCCTTTTGAATGAGCATTTGTATATCAATAACTGACCTGAGTTACCTTGACTTCTTGTAAAAAAAATAGTAGGAAAAAAGTATTGAGGAATTCAATTTGATTCCAGGAAGGAACTTTGTTTTTCTTGTATTTCTTTAATGTGAATACAAAAATCCATAAAGAAAGGAAAGTCTTGATGAATTAAAGTCATTGAGGACACTTGAAAATGCACATGTTTCGGAAAGTAGAGAGCATATAAATGATGTATATCATATTGTTTTGCTGTTTTAATACAAGGCCAACATTTACTTAAGTTCATCAAAACATCTTTGTCCCCAGTGGATATTTATCAAGTTGTTTTCAAGAATTTAAAGTAACATGGGGTGAGTTGATACAAATGGTACAATGGTTATTCTGTGGGTGAAATAGGCCTATTTCTTAAAATGTTCAGTGTACAACACAACATGCCTCTGGCTTCTCTTTCAACAGGTTTCCCTAAAGCAGCTGTGGTCTCTCATGCCAAACTGTGGCGATTAGCCTGCTTCCCGTCTATAGCAGGAATGTACTCTGATGATGTGCTTTATATCAGCCTCCCTCTTTATCACACCACCGGCTTCCTTGGATTTGCTTTAGCTATTGACAGAGGTAAACACTTGTGGGTGTATATATATAATTATCTGGTAAGGAAACGTTTTAACAGCATCAGTAGTTTTGTTAGGCAATATAGGTGGTGTTATATTGTATTTTTCTCACTAATTCAATTAATTAATACAAAGTTGGTTATTTTCAATCTCATATAATAAAATATAAAGATTAAAGCACAGAGGGGTCGAGGAGAAACCCAGTCAGACTGACCCAATGGCATCGAACCCTAGCAATGAACAAACGATTACAAGCGAGCAGTGTATGTGGCAGAATCTGAAAGACTGATCTCGGTTTGAAGATCCACCAAGTGAAGTGACCAGAAGAACAGGATGTGTATCAGCCTGGCTCAGCTGATCTGCTTCCTCCCAAAGAAGATCCAAATCCTCCAGTGGGCTGAGTAGCATTTGAGACATTGTGAAAGGCCCAAAACGGGCTGCCTCTTTTTTTCAACCCCATCAAGTTCAACACGGAGTTTCTGGAACAGAATAACAGTGGAAAACTGGGCACCTCGCAGCCGCATCCTTCCTTGAGTCTGACTCCATCTTTGTCCAGATGGATCAGCGTAACTCTCTCTCTTATCATAGTTTTAGGAAACATTGGAGTTTGGAGCACAGACATGTGTTTGTGGGTCGATCATAGATTTGTTGAGAGGCCAAAATTACCAATCGTATCCTCTCAGTTGTTTTTTTGTCTGTTGCTGTGTGTAGGTATCACAGTGGCTTTGAGGAGTAAGTTCTCTGTGTCGCAGTTCTGGAACGACTGCAGGAAATATGACGTCACCGTCATACAGTACATAGGGGAAATCATGCGTTACTTGTGCAACACACCAAAGGTATCACAGAACTAACATTGATGATACTTTAGTGCTCACCAGATATAAAAATAACTGTTTTTTTAAATGTTTTTTCCCCGACAGAAACCTAATGATCGAAGCCACAAAGTGAGACTTGCAGTAGGCAACGGGATCAGAGCCGATGTTTGGAGGGACTTCATCAGCAGGTTTGGAAACGTTAAAATCAGAGAGTGTTATGGAGCGACTGAAGGGAATTTTGGTCTGATGAATTACAGCGGCAAGATCGGGGCTGTGGGCCGAGACTCCTTCCTCCATAGGGTAAATTCCCAGGTTTCATTTCACATTATGAGGTTAAAGCTTTTAATCAATGAGCAATGTTTTGGCTTTACTTTTCTTTCTTTTATCTTGCAGAGATACTTTCCACACGCTGTGATCAAATTCGACATCAAAACAGAAACACCTCTGAGGGACTCCTCTGGTTTATGCATAGAGGCTGCCAAAGGTGCATTATTACCGGGGCTGTGGGGAACAGAAGTAGAAGTCACATTTTAAAATGTAAAGAAATGTAGACTCAATGTACAAATATTGTACCATTTGGGAGCCCCCCGCCCCCCCAAGAAAGAAATACAGGAATAAATACAAATGTTTGACATATTTTATACCTGATGGAGTAAAGAATTATCTTAGAAACAATCTTTATATTATTATTTTGGTGAACCTTTGGACATACAGCTGTTTTTAATTATTATAAAGTTTTACTCAAGTTGTTAGTTATAAAGATTACACGACAGCCATGCAAGCAGCTCTTTTATTGAGCAAAATACTTATGTATAAGGTCAACACACCAGTATATGTGTGTG